TGCGCTCCGCCGTCTCAATGCGCGTCGATTGCTATGTAGGTCTTCGTGCTCAATGTACAGCAGCCGCAGAGCGTGGCCTCGATCTCGACCTGGACCGTGTACCGCCGGCTCGAGATGTTTGAGCAGCTGAGCCAAAGCATCGCGAGCGAGTTTCCGCAGCTGCGCCTGCCGCCCTGCCCGATCATGCACGCTGCGTCGGCCATGAACCTCGGCAACCTCCATGGCATTGAGCGGTGCCGCGACGACCTGCAGCGCTGGCTCGCGCACCTGCTCTCGTACCCGTACCAGAACTCTCTCTTGCAGTCGCACGCGTTTGTCAACTTTATCTCGGCCGAGGCCAACACGGTGCCACAAGGCCTCCTGCTCTCGCAGCACTTCTTCCCGAACCAAGCTGGTGGCCTCCCGGCCGCGCCAGCTCCCTCCGCCAGCGCCGACCACAACATCGGCGAGATGGACGTACGTCGCATCTCTCTGTAGCCCATGTCCAATCGTATCTTTGTAGATGGACTTTATGTTTGCGGGCGGCGACGATGCGAGCAAGGACGACGACGTACGCAGCTCTTGCACGAACCTTCTAACCTCATGTCTCGCACGCTATGTAGCAATTCCAGTTTGACCACATGCCGCCGCCGTCGCCGGCAAATGGCACGCTCGACACGTCGGTACGTCCTTTTTCTTGACGAATTGAACACATTTTCACGGTGCTTTCTAGAATTTCGACATGCAGCCCGCGGAAGGCAAGGTGGCGCTGGACGACTTCCACTTGATCAAGGTCATCGGGAAGGGCTCGTTCGGGAAGGTCCTCCTCGTGCGCAAGAAGGACAATGGCGTCGTATACGCCATGAAGGTGCTCCGGAAGGAAAACATCATCAAGCGCAACCAGGTCGAGCACACGCGGACCGAGCGCCACGTGCTCGGCTACGTCCGCCACCCGTTCATCGTCGGCCTCAACTACGCGTTCCAAACCAGCGAGAAGCTCTACTTTGTCCTCGACTACTGCGCCGGCGGCGAGCTCTTCTTCCATCTCGGCAAGGTATGTTTCATGCCAACCTCGTATCAATGTATCAACTATGTACTAGGTGCAACGCTTCAAAGAGCCGCGTGCGCAGTTTTACGCGGCCGAAATCACGCTCGCGATCGAGTACGTGCACAACCTCGACATCATCTACCGCGACCTCAAGCCCGAGAACGTGCTCTTGGATGAGAATGGGCACATTCGCCTCACCGACTTTGGGCTCTCGAAAGAAGGCATTCAGGTGCGTCCTCCATAGTCTTTTTTTTACGAAACATGTGGTGCAGGACGACTTTTCGGGCGCCAACTCGTTTTGCGGCACGCCCGAGTACCTCGCGCCCGAGATCCTCAACCGTGCGGGCCATGGTCGTGCGGTCGATTGGTGGTCGCTTGGCGCGCTCCTCTACGAGATGCTCACGGGCCTCCCACCGTTCTACTGCCGTGACCGGTACAGACTTAAATCCTGCCTTGCCGCAGACTTATTGATGCATGCGTAGCGACAAGCTATTTGAGAAGATCCGCCAGGGCGAGCTCACGTTCCCGAAATACCTGAGCCCCGCGGCTGTCGACTTGCTGGCGCGGTTATTGGAGCGCGACCCGACCAAGCGGCTCGGGACGGGACCCACGGACGCCGGTAAGCTCTTGTGCTTTTTTTGTCCAAGTGCCGACTATCGAGTGGATATTAGGCGAGATCAAGTCGCACCCGTTCTTCAAGGAGATTCAGTGGGACCTCCTCGCGCTTGGCCAAGTGCCCGTGCCATGGAAGCCGACGTTCAACGGCGCGCTCGATACGTCGCAGTTTGACCGCGAGTTCACCGACATGCCCATCAACAGCCCGGACACGCGGAGCACGTACGGCTCGTCGGTCGGGCGTCGCCAGCTCTTCCGCGACACGGAAGGTCTCTTCCACGGCTTCACGTACACGGACGACGACTCGTACATGGAGTTTGCAAATCGTGGCCCGCTGCCGCCAAGCCACTTTTAGCCAACGTAAGTAAACCAACGGAACGATACATACAACCCACTGAACCCGGCGTCTCGTTGTCTTTTATGCACGTACACGCTGCCACGTCATTGACTCGGCCACTGTAAGCGATACAAACCTAGAGTGACAGGATTGTGGAACCGGGATGCGCTGCGGGAGCGCAACATCAACGGCGCGCGCTGGCTGCTTGCACATGGGTTTCCCTTGGAGGCCGCGGCACGCGACGCGCCTCTACTTGCGACCCACGCGGACTTCCCTATGCCGCTTCTCTTGTTCTTGCACGAGGTTGGCATTGCGCTCCGCGCCGAGTGGATGCCCAGTCGAGCGCGCTGGCGTGCTTGGAGGCACATCGTCGTCGACCCGACTCTGTATCCTAGCGTAGGACCAACCCCACGCGATCTTGATGCACAAGGAATTTTAATTTTTTCGATGCGAGGCGCCACACTCGACCTCATTATTGAGGCACGAGAGCGTGCCACGTCACAAGGAGCCATCAAAAGAAGCTGTTGCTGGCCTCCGCTCGTCGATACAGCAGCGTCGCGAGCTGTTTTGGTGGTTGCTTCAGAATACGCGACCACATGACGGGATTCTAGCGCTTGGATGATGACAACACGAGTTCGGACATGGTTCTTATTCACAAAAATCGATTATTGCACGGCGCACGAGGCCGCAAAACCAAACTGGGCCCCCGACATATCGTTATGCTCTCGGCACCGCTCGCGTCCCTCTTCGAGAAGCGCGAGAACGTCGACATGCTTGTTGCGCCGCGCGGCCGCGATGCCCTTGTGCGTGCAGCGCTGGTGGGTGTACGCCTGTAGGAAGTCCAGGATCGCGACGTCGCCGTTGGCCGCCGCCGTGTCCATGGCGGCGTTCGAGCAGCTCCCAAGCCGCCGCGCGTGGAGCGCCTTTAGGAGCGGCAGGCTGCGCGCTCTCGCTGCGTAGTCCATCGTGTAGGTGTATGTTTGCTTGCCCCGTGGCAGTTGGAGCGTCGCGGCGTCTGGGAATGTGGCGAGGAGGGCCAGAGCCGTTGGAACGTCGCGGTCTTGGATGAGCTTGCACAAGACAAAGCCATGGAAGCGCGCTGGCGTCGACATGAGATGCGTGACTTCAGGGTGGGCCTTGTGGGAGACGTGGCCGAGCTGGCGGCGGTAGCGCTGGCAGGCAAGGCCGACGGCCATGGGCACACCATGCTGGTAGCTCAGCACCGTGCGCAAAAGGTCGGCCTGGGTCAAGACGACGAC